AGCCAAGACTGCCTACAACCACGCCCTCAAGGCGGCTATCCGCCCCAAGGGGAACAAGTGGGTCGAGTTCTGGAATCTCATGGCCGTGTGCGTGCCGGGACACGCCCTTGAGATCGACGCCATCACGCAGCGTGAAGCATTCCTGTGCCTGCGGCGACAGGTTAACCGCGACGTTACACTCTGCGGGCACGCCAGAGACCTCCAACACCACGTCCAGACCCTGTTTGGTGGAGGACCCGTCGGACGACTCGTCCAGTCGCTCCAGCAGCTCCGATGGACCTGGCCCACATTTGGCATTATGTACGACGACTGGGGCTGCCCGATCAGCTGGCTGAATTTACCCCAAAACGCCTTCCTGCACATGCTGCGGGCCTCACAACGCAAGGCATTTCTGCGGAGGATCAAGCCACGGCGACACGACCTTGGCTACCTCGCCTCTGTCAGACAGGGCCTTGACCTCGTCGCCAGCACGTGGCTCGCGCGAACTAAAGGAGCAGCCAAATGCACTGCCTGGCAGCTGGCGCTCCTCCTGAACTACCTGTCGGGCGGGGACCACACCCAACAGCGACGATCCCGATCAAACGCGTCGGCAGACCCCAGCCCCATGTGCCGCTACTGTGACGAGGAAGAGGAAACTCAGGAGCACACTGTCCGCGACTGTAGGTGCTGGGCCCGAGAAAGACTCCCTCTCACCACCCTAATCAGTGACGACCAGTGGGCCCGTCTTCCGCCGCACACAAGACACTGCGGGCTCTTCGACGAAGACCCAGCCCTCCTCGACCTGCAGGCCGACCTCGCGAGGGACCCGCTGCCACAGCCCATTCCGCGGCCCCCCCCTGATGGTGATCCTGCGGCTTCAGCCCAGGACACCTACACCACCTACCTTGACTACAACACAGGTTGGACATGGGTCTATGCTGCCACGGACGGTGCGTGCACCAACCAAGCCATCCCATTGCTAGCACGAGCGGGTTACGGCGTCTACTACGGCATCGATCACCGCATGAACTACAGTGCACGCGTTCACGGCCTAACGCAGAACGCCCAGGTTGCGGAGACCCTCGCCCTTGTCCACCTTACGGCATGTGCCGAACGGCCCGTGCACGTTTTCGTGGACAACCAGGCGGTGGTCGATGGGTTCCAAAGCATCATCGACGGACATCCAGCGCCGCAGGGCACGCACGCGGAGCTCTGGAAAAGATCCACCGATGTGTTATGGCCAAGCCCAACATGTTTCGCGTCGAAAAAATCGCCAGCCACCTGGGAGACCTGGGCATCGACCTTGGGCTCATCGGGCCCATCGCGGAGGAGTTCAACCGTCAGGCCGACGCCCTTGCCACAGCGGCGGCACGCACGCACAACCTCCCCGACGAAATTGTTGAAGCTGCCAAAACACGACATCGCCAAGCGACCGTGCTTCATGGGGTCGCTGTCGCTATCTACGAGCGCAGACACCGTACTCTGCCGCTCCCACACCGCAGGGCTGGGTTTACAGCATCGGAACTCAGCAAAATGGAACCGAACCCCCTGCTGTCGGACCAGGCACCACCCGCAGCTGGACCATACATCCCGCAGAACCCGGATGAGCTCTGGGCCGAGGCCCAACGGGCGATGCACGACGATCAGGAGGACGACCCGTTCGGCTTCGGCGGGGGATTAGACTTCCTGGACGACGGGCCAGCCAGCGCCAACCCTGCACCGTCGGGCAGCCTCTCGACGCACACCTCGACTCCGGCACCGAGAGCGACATCGCACCCACATGATGACGTCGCTCACCGTCAAGACGCCGACGAGGACCTCTATGATCCCCTCGGATTGAGTGGCAGCATAGACGACGCCCCGCCGACACCCCACGCTGCCGACGATGCCGCTTCATCGAGACGCCACCCGACCACGCGGCCGACCTCCGAGCCCTCGCACGGCATCATGATTGGTCCCCCCGTGCCACCCGCCCCGTCCCCCCACCAGCGCCAGCCCGCGGGGGCGGCTCCAGCCCCCCCGCAGGGCACTGAGCCAGTCAGGCCGTCGCACCCCGTCCACGCTTTTACTGTTGCTGGGTCCGAGGCTACGGCTCCTCCGTCCGCACGGGGCGTGGCCCTAGCGGCTTCAGCCCTGGGACCGCGTGATGCCCTCCAGTCCACCTGGCCAGGCGCACCGATGACCTCGTCCCCGCCACGAGGCCCGCGGCCGCAGGCACAGAGCAGCCGCCCCTCACCGACCGCGAAGCCGAGCTGTCCCAGTCTATTGCCGCTCTTCAGCAGAGGTGCGCTGCTCTCGCCGCCGACCTTGCCGCTGCTCAAGCCCGTCAAGGCCCTCTGCTCCAGCGCCTCCACCGCGCCGGTCGTGCCTTCGCCGAGCTGCTTACACCCTCGCCCGATGGTGCTGCGCCGCCACTCACCCTCCATGCAATGCTGTCATCGCTCCGCGGCGCTCCGCCTGGAGCCCCGCGCTAATCTCCGCCATTCTGCCTGCCCGTGTGCACGCGTGGCCCCGCGTCCACGGTGTCAGGGCGCGGGGGCGGGGGGTGCCCCGTCCCTGCGCGCCGCGTTGCGGCCAAGCGCCCAACAGGCGGTCTGCCAAGCCGCCTAGCCACGTGTCAGCACGTCGCCTTTCTTGTTGGGGCCTTCTTCGTCACGCGGTCTGACGCGTGAGATCTTCACTGTCTGTCCGCCGTCTGTAGCGTCAGTCGCATTGCGCCGGGGGAGGGGGTTTGTTGCCCGCCCTCGTATCTCAAGGCTGCACCGCCGCAAATAGTGTTTGGCGGGTTGTCGCACCGCAGTGCGCCTCGCGGACGGACCCTGGTCCGCCTACTTGTCCGGTCTCTCTCTCTCTCTCTCTCTCTCTCTCTCTCTCTCTCTCTCTCTCTCTCTCTCTCTCTCTCTCTCTCTCTCTCTTTCTCTCTCTTTCTCTCTCTCGCTCTCCCTCTCTCTGTCTGTCCCTCTCCTCTCCATCTTTCACTCTCTCTCTCTCTCTCCCTCTCGTCTCCACTCTCTCTCTCTCTTATCTCTCTCTCTCTCTCCTCTCTCTCCTTTTTGCTCTCTCTCTCTCTCCTCTCATCTCTAATCTCTCTCTCACTCTCTCTATATCTATATAAATACTCCTTTTTTCTCGCCCTCTCTCTCTCTCTCGCCCCCTCTCCCTCTCTCTCTCTCTCTATCTCTCTCTCTCTCTCTCTCTCTCTCTCTCTCTCTCCCTCCCTCTCGCAGTCCGATCGCCAATCCCTCATTGAGGGATTGGCGATTGGACTGGAAGCACTGGCCCGGATGAGGAGGGAAAGAGGGGGGGGGGGAGTGGGCTACCCGCCGCCGCCGCCTGGCCCGCGGCCCGCCTAGCCGCCGGCCCGGCCCTCGGCCCAGCCGCCCGCCTGGCCCGCGGCCAGCGTGCCCCGCGCCGCCCTGCTCCGCGCGGCGCCGCAGGGCCGGCATTGAGCGGGCGCCGCGTCCAGCAGGGCCCGGGCCACGCCCATGGCCAGCCGGGCGCTGATCAACGTCCGCCAGCGGGCCCCCCAGCGCGTTGGCAGGACACCGCGGCCCTGCCTGGCGCTGGGCCGCCAGCGCAGCAAGCTCGTCCAGCAAGTTGGAGAGCTGGGCGTCCGCGCGGCCCCAGGTTTCGACGGCGCACGGGGCGACGGCCTTGCCGCCCGCGTCTGGGTGCCGGTCCTCCTTGCACCGGACGCCCTTCGCCGCGGCTGCGCCTGGCGTCGCGGCAGCCGCCGGCAGGATATGCGCGGCCGCGGGGTGGCGCACCGCGCCGTCGACGAGACGCTCTGGGGCAGTCGGGTGCCCGAACAGGTCCACGTCCAGGACGGCCTCCTCCAGGACCCCCCTGCCGCCCCGCCGGCGCTTCCTCAGGCCGAGCTCGGGCATGGTTTGCTCCAGCAGCGCCGAGTGCCCAGCGTCGCGTCCAGCCTGCGCCAGAACGCCGTTCAACGAACCGTGCCGCGTCGAAATGTAGGGGCCCGTATTGCAGCATACGGCGTGGTCGCCAAACATGTCCAGATCCTTGCCACAACGATCGGCCTGATCCTTGGATTTCGCGCGCATGCGCTGCAGGCCAGCATGCACACGCACTCTCTCTCTCTCTCTCTCTCTCTCTCTCTCTCAAAATCTCTCTCTCTCTCATCTCCAATCTCTCTCTCCTCTCCATCTCCCTCTCTCTCTCTTTCTCTCTCGTCTCGTCTCTCTCTCATCACTCTCTCTCTCCATCTCTCATCTCTCTCTCTCTCTCTCTCATCCATCTCACATCATCCTCTCTCTCTCTCTCTCCTATAATCTCTCCGCCAGTCTCTCTCATCTCTCTCTTCTTCGCTCTCTCTCTCTCTCTCCTCTCTCTCTCTCTCTCTCCTCTCTCCTCTTCATCTCTCTCTCAAATCTCACTCTCTCTCCTCTCGCCCTCTCTCGTCCTCTCTCTCTCTTCATCTCTCTCTTCTCTCTCTCTCTCCTCTCTCTACATCTCTCTCTCTCTCTCATCATCTCTCCAATTCTCCATCTCTCTCTCTCTCTCCTCCTCTCTAGCTCTCTCTCTCTCTCTCTCTCTCTCTCTCTCTCTCTCTCTCTCTCTCATTCCCTCCACTTTCGCGCGGCCCCCTCTCCCTTGAGGGAGAGGTCGCGGCCGAGGGGCCAGAGCTCTCTGGCGATGAGATCTGCTGAGCTCTTGGCCGCTTTGGCGCACGGGCGCTTGGCGGGCAGTGCAGTTATAGTGCGTCGCTTCTGCGGCGCTCGCCGTCTGTCGTCCTCCCCATCCGCTTCTCTGGAGTCGCGGATTGCCCTCCGCGCGTCAAGTGGCGCTCGCGCTCGTGAACTTTGCTTTTCCCCAATCTCGTCCTCTGCTCCTTCCCTTTATTTCTGTCTCGGCCATGGCTCCTCGTGCCATCGGGCGTTTCCTCTGCGCTGCGCGGCGTGTCTGCGCGCGAGGCGGCGGGGGGGCCCATGGCGCTGCGCGCGCGCTGGCAGAGAGTACCAATGCCATTGATTAATTGATTCATTGATTCATTAGTTCAGTCACTCCGCTTCAGAACAGCCCCAAGGGGCCCCCAGGATCGCCCTGACGGACCGAGACTTTCTCAAAGGGCCCCAGACAGCCCAGGTGGCCCCCAAGTCGGCCTGAAAACTGCCTCAAGAGACCCCGAAGAGAGCTCGCTCGGGGCCCTGCATTAGTACGGCGACGGTCAGAACATCCATATACACATATACATCTACACCAACATCTACATCAACATATACATATACATTTTTATTTGAACAGCATGGGCGCCAGTCGAAGGCGCCGCTGTAGCTTCAGAGCCCCCGCCGAGAGGAGGAGCGCGACCCCATGGCCCGCCGGGAAACGAAGACGCAAGCCGAGGCGACGAGGACCCAGGAACCAGGGCGGCCCCAGGACAGGAACCCGAGACGGCCCAGGACCCCAGGCGGAGGAGAGGAGGACGAGGCGGGCCCCGCGGCGCTCGCCGCTCGAGGGCCCCCGCTCGAGGAGGAGCGGCGGCCCCGAGGGCGCCCGCCGCCGCTCCGCCGCCCGCCGCCGCCCCCGCGCCGCCGCCGAGCGAGCGCCCCGGCAGAGGCACAGATGGCGGCGGAGCGCCGCTCGGGCCTGCGACCGCTGGCGCGAGCCCCGGCCGCCCGCAGGAGGCCGGCCCGCCGCGCCCGGCGAATCCGACGTCGTCGGATGCAGCAGCCACGTCGGCGCCCACCGCCCACGACGCTCGCTAGCTTCAGGTTGCAGATGTGTAGCGCTGGCGCCGCCTGACCCCGCCGACCGTTGAGCTCGGGCCGCTTGATCAAGCCGTGTATCCCCACCTCGTGGCCCACGAAGAACCTGCCGTCCACGATGGGCGCGCCCTCGTCCCTGCGCTGCCCATTGAGGACGTGGTCGACATGGTCGCGCGCGAGGTCGGGGTCCTCGAGCATAAGCTTCTCCTCCTCGTCGACCTCCAGGTGGAACGAGCACGCGTCGCAGCGCAGCAAGCCGCAGGCGTGGCAGAAAGCCGCGTGGACGCACACGTCCCCGCAGTACCAGCACTCGATGTCCGTGCGCATTCGGAGCCAATTGCGCGTAGCCCGATCGAGATGAAGGGCCTCCAGCTCCTGCCCACAATCAGGGCACGGCGGCAGCCCAATGTCGACGTATCGCAGCAGAGCTGCCCGCGCCAGCCCCCCCAGCTCCCTCGGATACGCAAAGTCCGCCATGTCCGCCGTCCTGGGCGAGACCGCCTCGCCAGGCCCCTCGGACCAGGCACCAGGCCCGTCTCCAGACTCCGACGCGCCCAGCGACACCTCCGAGAGAGGCGCCGTCGCGAACGTGGTGGCCTCGGAGGCAGGCGCCGCGAGACCAGGAACCCCGTGGCCGAGAACGGGTCCAGGGACACGAACACATCCGTCAGCAGAAGCACGAGGAACAACAGCGGCACCAGCGCGAGGACCGTCTCCAGGAAGCTCCGCGCCTTCAGGCGGACCCGCACCAGCAGCAGCACGAACACCAGGAGGAAGAGGTGGGTCGGCACGAGCTGCCGCAGACCCGGCACGAACACACCCATCCACAGCATCACAGAGATCGGCGTCGTCACCCGCACGGAAGGCATCTCCACGAGGTACAGCGCCTTCAGGAAGAAGGCCATCAGCAGGAACATCGCCTTCAGGAAGAGAGCCCTCAACAGGAACAGCAGGAACAACTCCGCGAGGTGCAGCGCCTTCAGGAACAGCTCCCTCCCGTCCCCCCGCGTCGACGCCCAGGCCCTCGAGGACGGCCTCCTCCGCCGACTGGGGCGCGATAGCATCGTAGTCGCAGACGTAGCCGCCGTCGCACTGGTAGCCGCAGTCGTACGGGTAACCGAAGAGGGAGAAGTCCAGCGCCGCCTGACGGCTCACCGCGAGCAGCAAGCGGCGTCTGGCGCGGCGCTGCGCCTTAGAGCGGGGGCGCTCGCCCCACAGGGGCGCCTCACCGCACGGCATCGGAGGCATGGGCGCGCCCTCCGCCAGGAGGGGCCGCGGCGCCCAGCCCAGGGCCCCCCGAGCGGGCGGGGGGGCACACGTTACACCATGGCGCAGCACGATGCGCCCGCGGAAGCTTGGCGCCGCGGCCGTCGGACCCCTGAGCAAATGTGCGACGCTATACATATACATATGCATATGCATAGACATGTACATATACGTATACATATACATATACATATACATATACATATACATATACATATACATATACATATACATGTACATATGCATGTGCACATACATATGCATATGCATATACATATACATATACATATACACATACATATACATATACATATACATATACATATACATATACATATACATATACGTATACATACACATATACTTATACATATACATATAAATACACAAACACATATACATATACACATACATATACATTTACGTATCCAGATACCTACACACATACATCTATAACACACATGCATACAATCATGCATGCATGTATACATACATGCATAGAAACATGCATGCATACATACATACATGCATTCACGCATGCATGCATGCAGACAGACAGACCGACCGACAGACAGACCTACGATCATGCAAACATACTTGATTATCTATATATATATAATATATATTTATATAATATAATATAATAATATAATGTATGTATATATAATACACACATATCTATAATTAATATATATATATATATATATATATATATTGTGCTGGCCTCCGGCCAGTGCCGCCGATCTGGGGCGCTCCGGATAATGATGATGATGATGATGATGATAACGATGATGATGATGATGATGAGGAGGAAGAGGAGGAGGAAGAGGAGGAGGATGAGGAGGATGGTGGTGGTGGTGACAATGATAATGACGATGCTTATCATGTTAATGTCCATGGGGCCATCTTGGGCGTCTTGGACCGATCGTTCTGTGATTCGGGGCTTTCTTGGGCCGCCTTGAGGATCTCCCGTGGCTCTGTTGGCCCGTCTAGGGCCTCTGATGGGCTCGAAAAAGTGATGCGGGAACATTCTGGGGGCCCCAGAAGGCGCGTGGGGAGCCTCAAGAGATTTGAGACCTTGGGGTCCGGGCCCATTAAGAGTCCTCAGGCTTGCGGACTGAGGCTCAGGGGATTGAGCAAGGGACCTGGGGAAGCCGCTTGGGTGTCGTTTTGGGGCCTCTTGGGGCCTCGTTCGGGCCTCTTGGGGGCCTCCTGGGGCCTTCTTGGGGGCCTGTGGCCCCTCCCGCCCCCGAGCACTGAATGCGTCGGGAATGGCGTCCCCGCCTCCCCCCTTCCAGAGCCTCCTGGGGGCTTGTTGGGGGCCTGAGGACCCGTCGTCCCCGAGCACCAAATGCGTCGGGAATGGCGCCCCTCCCCCCCCTTGCAGAGCGAAGCTTGAGCGAGCTCAAGTCCACGCTCTCAGAAACTCTCACCCCGGATCGGCGGATATACGCATACCTATACAGATGTGTAGATCCTCCCGGCCTCGGCCAGGAGGGCCTGGAGGGCATGTGCACCATGCCGGGGCAAAGGCATGGCCCTGGCCAGGCACCGCGGCGTACAGGTGCTGGCCCGCGGGGGCCTCGGTCGCAGCAGCGAGGGCCGAACGTGTTTTTTATGCAGCTGCCTGCGGCAAGCTCCGCCACCGTGCCAGCGCAGCACTCTTTGTGGCCACGCTTCGGGCACCGCCCCAGGGAACCCTCTCGATCCGATTCGTCCTCCGTTCTGGCCAGCTCGAGCGGATTCGACTCCGATGTATCGACGATCCGCTGCTGCCCGATGCTTGCATGGCGTTGCTTTGCATCCTGGTGCAGCCGATCCGATGCGATTTCGATCGACTCCTTGGCGATGCCCCCCCGATCAGACGCACGTTCGGTTCGATCTGAATTCCCGATTTGATGCTGACTGATCCTGCCACCCTGGAGGCCGTGAGATAGGACACTTTTCGTCTCTATTCCCCGAGGGAATCTCACAGGATCTGCCTGGGCCGTCGTGGGATTAGGTGATTTGGGGCCCTCTTGGACCGTCTTGAGACTTTCTTGGGCCGTCTTGGCGCCTTCTTGGACCGTCTTGGGCCTTTCTTTGTCGTCTGGGGAGACTCTTGGGGCTCCCTCGGGGCCTCCTGGGGCCCTCTTTGGTCATCCTGGGACGCTCTCGTGAACTGCCCTGTCACCCTGTCACC